GAGAACACTGGATTTCTGGAAGGAACTACAGGTATTTTTCTGTACTAACAGTGTTTGTAGAGAGTTAAAGCATGGGAAAATGTGCATGGAATGCAGAGATGTACTAAATATGTTTGTTTTAATTTTGCAAAGACATACACTTTATCATGCCTATTGGAGTTGTCATTTAGGAGCTAGGCTGGTCTCAAGCCAGTAAAAAACAACAATCACGTACAATATGTTGAGATCACTGTGTGCAAAGTGATTAAAAATCACACTGCAAAGATCACCAATAATGTGCAAAGTGAAATAATCCAAAAAATGAATCCCAGTTTAGATGATAGGTTTGCTGATCTTTCTATCTACTCTAGTTTGCAGATTGCTGCTTGCCTTCTTGATTAATGTAATTTTATTGGTATCTATCTACCAGTAGCTGCCTCATTTCCCACCCTCGGCTTATATTCGGGTCAATACTTTTTCCCAGTTTTTTGTGGTAAAATTAGGTACCTCGGCTTATAATCGGGACGGCTTATACTCGAGTATATACGGTATGTGTATTACAGTACTTGTTTGGGGGAACTTCAAAAGTTAGAGGGCAACTAACAGGCCCCCCCCAGCACCGGAAGCCTGGCCATGGTTGCATCCACCGTAAATGATGGGGTTGATTTACTAAAGGCAGTTAGACTGTTCACTTTGCAGGGGGATTTGCATTTTGAAAGGGAATTTCCTCTTAGCTTAGTGAATGAGGTGAAGTTCTGCTGACTTTCACCATACAATCATGTGTAAGCAAAAATACTTTTTTTTTTTTCCCCCATGCTTATGATTGGGTGTTCTGCACAAAGTGAACTTTCACCAAGCTAGGGGAAAATGCCCTTGCAAAGTAAACAGCCTATTTGCCTTTAGTAAATCAGCCCCTATATCTCTGAAAATGTAAGCATTACAGATGAGCCCAAAGAATGAATGTACATTTGGCAACTAAGCAGTTAGTAAGGAACTACAACTGCCAACATATACTAGCTAGTGACAAGCATGCTTTGAGATGTAATTCCCCAAGTGCGAGAGAATAGTCAATTCCTCACATCTTGTCAAATGTGGATAATAAATCTCATATTTGAAAGCTGGGTTTCCAGTCCAGAGCTGCAAGCTCTCACGGGCAGGGCCCTCCTAACCATCTTGCTTTGAATTGTATTGTAACTGTAATGTCTTCCTTTTATTGTAAAGCGCTGCACAAACTGTTGGTGCTATATAAACTCTATAATAATAATAATAATAGTAAAAATCATACTTTAGTTATTATCAGCAATATCATATAAAAATGAGCACTGACTAATGAAGCTTTAAATGCCAAGGATTAGTATGGAATTGTAATTTAATTTTGAATGCAATGTTGCATTCATTAGCTTCATTATTTTTTGTGGATTAAAAAAAAAAAAGCTTATTTAGAAAGTTAGGTCTTCAACCTTTCAGAAAACATATACAAAACCTCCAATTTGGTATTTTCCCTTTCAGGCAAATTGACTGTATTTCCTTTTGCTTTACTTAAAGCCATCATCATCCTTATTTAATAACTGACTCTGAGAAAAGTTCAGTAACCCATAGCATCCAATCAGTAATCTGACTTCAGTAATAAGAACTGAGATTGGTTACTACCAGTGCCTGAAATTTGCATATCAGCTTACATCTTTGCTCTCCATTATTGAAATAGCCAATATGATGGCAGATATGAAAAGCTAATCTCTGAGTTATTTAATAAAGACGTGCAAAGAGCAACGATGATGTGCAAAATGCCTTCTTCCTCAGTTGAGGGAAATATGATTGCTGATTGGCTGCTGGTGATTCCTGCAAATCACCTTTGCCTTACTGAATAAGCCTGGATTTATATAAATGTAAAAAAATAACATTTCATAGGACAGTAATGGAGAAAATGTTCATCTCTTTGCTTGTTTACGTTCTTAGGTATATATATATATATATATATTTCACTGCTATTGGTATGGGAGAAAGATAATGTCACGGGCCAAGAACTTGTACAAAACAATCAATAAAAACACAGGGTTCTGTAGTTGGATCAGGGTAAGTTAAATTGCGATTGGCTGTTATGCGTTACTGCACTTTGCACATCCTTAGCGAATAAACCCGTATCTGGCTCTCCCACCAGGAGCTGTCTGTTAAATCCTAAAAGGATTACCTAGGGACTTCCCGTAAGGTGCTGGCAAAAAGGGAAATTTGCTTTCCCAGAGCTACGCTCGGATATCGTTCACAGGTGGCTGGAAAGAAAAACCCCTTAAGATGGGAAGCCAGCGTAGACAATGAGCTTGATGCGGTGTGACTGGCAGAGGATAGAGAAAGCTGGAGGACTGCAGCGTGGCTAATACAAGAATAAAAATTCCAGAGAAAAAAATAAAGCAAGAATACTTTCCACCACCACTCTACTACCTTGAAAATTAAGTAAGACGTCTTAAATGAGGCGATTATTCTACACCACCCAAGGTGCAAGATTGTTTTTTTATTCTCTCAATTTAACCCCTGATGTGCCAAACCCTAAAAAAAAATCATGCAAGCTCTTTTAGTTGGCTGTTGGGCTACCTAACTGATAGTCCTGATGGCAACCCAATGCTCAATTGAAGGAGCCTGCAGGGCAGGTTGACAATGCTGCTGCTAATTGAGGGGCAGTGGCTTAGTGTTGCCAGTCTAGGAAGTGCTATTATTGGCAGGAACTCTAGTTAAGGATCGTTGCAACAGATTCACAAAAAAATATTTGCGTCAGTAAACCGAATACAGGTAGGCATGATTGCAAACATACTAAAATAAATATAGAAATAATAATAATAAATATATATAGTTAGACAAGTACTGGCAGTGTCCCATAATAATTTTCTTAAATTCAAAATATACATGCAGTGTATTTAAATCTATAGGCAAAGAGCAGGTGACCCTACAGCAGTTCCCTACAGCCCGATTTAAAGTGATCGCATAATACATAATTCACTCGGGCGGCAGACATTTTGAATAATTTATCTAGTGTTCAGGCATGGAACAGCATTGAGAGCCCCTTACTTCTCATGGCTTCGTGTTAGAAAGACAGACATTTTTATAGGACACATCAAACCCCCTAATTTTCCACTGCGGAATACTTGGCAGTGGTAGCATGGATTTAAAAAGTATTGCGATTTGGATATTGTTTAAGTCTTTGTGACAGTTTCCATTTCAAGGTATTTATTTAGAATCATAAGCAAGACACAGTAGAGTGGTTTACCATTTGCAGTGCTGAAATCAGTTGTAATTGGGTTCCAAATAAACAACAGGAAGCCCAGAAGCAACAATTTGCTTAACTGCTAACGTGGTGCATTCAGTCCTCATGTAATGGTTCGAATGCAGCCGACATGGATTGTATGTAGGCAATTCATAGACTTATTGACAGAAAGCAGACCATAATACACCAGGTCTAACTAGTGGTAATTTTAAACATTATCCAAACGAATAGCAAAAATTCAATATAAACGATTCCCTTTAAGAAAACCAAGAACTCCAACATAATTGTTATGATAGAAAACTGTGTTTCTCAATAAAACAAACATCTCGTGATGGCTTCACCAAATTTTGTCTAGGCCCTCTGACACACGCAACACTTTGAAAGGAGCCCCTTCTATTAAATGTGGATAATAGTACTAGAACAAATTGTATTCTTAAATTCTTATAAATCTCAATGCATACAAAATATTATGCCGACATCTCAGGATGAACAAAATAGCACTGTGCACTTAATAGATGACTTCACAGCACACATATTGTACCAATGTGTGGCATGTAACAATGTACATAGGTAATGATGAATGTTAGTGATACTGATTTCATGTGTTTGCACATATATGCACATAAATCCAACTATGCTTACATATACATACTGTATGTGTATCGATTATGAAAGCATATGTTAGCATGTTTCATACCCCATGCAGCAAAGATCCACACTGTAACATTTACAGCATGAAAAGATCACATATTTGTGCTCCCATCTCAGCAAATGTCACACAGATGCATCTTGGCTAGAGGTGTAGATCACATCTGTGTACATTCAATTAATTCTCCTGTTTCACTAGACACTGGCAAATGTCTCCCAGGAATATCAAAAGGGAACTGATAAATCAGAACAAAGCCTGTCACTTCCACCTCTCCTTATATAATGGTGGTGAATGAGTGACCCTATAGACAGGGATCTACAGCATCTGAGCATCGTTGAGCCAGGCAGAGCTCCCACATCCCCAACCTCAGCGTCTAATGGGTTAATGATGCATGGCAAGTGGGGGTGGGAGGAAGAGAGTCGAGATTAAGGAGCTTGAAATTCCACAATAATAATGCTTTATTCGAATGTAATAGAATTTACAGGTTCAGGGGAGAATGGATGGACTTGCACAGAGCAGAGCGGAGTCAGGTAGGAATGTGCTCAGGGAAGGAAGGGGGGGGGGGGAGTAAAGGTATGAGATGTTGACAGATTAGGATAAACAGAACAGGAAGTGAGTGCTCACATCAGAGACATCTGGGTTTATTCCATTACGCAGTGCAAAGAGCAATGGCGATGTGCAAACTGAAATCACCCACCAATCAGAAATTCTCCTTCCCTGATTCTACCACAGTCAACTAAAACTCCATTGGTTGCCATGGGTTACTGCACTGTGTACATTGCGGCTGCCTCTGGCACTGCGTTGACGCTTGAGCTTGAAGGAGCAGTTACGCAGCTGGAGTGGAACTGCATGATCCTTGTAGTTCCACTCCAAATGAGGAGCCACATGTTGCCACACTGGCCTAGGTCACAGAAACTTTGTATTGTGCTGTAAGGTGGTCATCACCCCAGACACAATGCATACCAGACTTCAAACAATAAACTCACATTTGTCAAAATTTCCAACAAACCCCTTCAAACCTGTGGCGTTGAACATTAAAAGCCAGTAAACACTTTGGCTGCCAAAGTCAATCCCCCTTCCCCCAAGAATAAAAACCAAAAACACGCTTGAGGTACTTACCGATCTGAATAATGTTTGGAAAATTGGGGAAATTTACCCCAAGCACTGCCCCTATAAAGCTGGTGCAGAAGAAGGCAAAAATGTACTGCATATTTCCTTTTGCATTGGCGGAGAAGAAAGATAAGCCCTACTTCCCAAGCAAAGATTCTTTGTTGCTGCTTGTCTGGAGAACGAAAAATCTCCTCTCGAAGTCTCTGAATGAGCACCCCCCTGGCCTTCCAAGCTGTATTGAGGCTCCGAGCTGTGGATGCAGCAAGCACAGAGGAATAGCTGTTGATGCTGTTGGTTTTTTTTTTTTTTTGGTTTCTCTCTCCTTGGTGCTGAAAACAAGCTTTGCTCTCTGTTCCAGGTCTTCCCAGTGATTCTGCGCTTCCCTTGCTAATCTGTGCCTCTTCCGTTCTGCATCCAGTGCTTAAAATGCTGCCTTAACATCAACTGACAGAAGGATTAACTGAACAGTGAGAGAAAGAGAGAGGGTCCTCCTCATTCACCCAGACACACACTAGAACATACATTACACTCTCTGTGTCTCTCTACACTCCATCATGCTAATGTGCCTTTATTACTGTAGCCAAGCAACTGCCTCACATTCCCCAGCCCCTCTCTCCATCCTTCTGATAGGAGCCAATGTACTGTAGCTGAGGGTAATCTCCGCATCCTTCTGTCCCTAATACACCCCCACACCCTCCTGGAGTGTTAACAATATGGGCACCCCTCCTGCCTCTGGTGTCACAGTGTCACATAACATCCCCTCTCTATATCAAGGTGTATGGTCTAGCCTACCTGAGCTTTTTGCATCCTGACTTTCTAAACATATGTACTCCCTTCGTACATTGGTTTCCTCGATACCATTGTTTTTAGCACTGAGGACCGAAAAACTGAAACTCCAAAAAAATTAAATACAAAACTCCATAAGCCCTAACCACCTAATTAGGAAGACTCTAAGACCCCATTCACACTGAGCGACATGGAAATCGCGCTACTTTGAGCGACATTGAGCGGCGAGCGACATTGAGCGACGTTGAGCGACGTGTCGCGCGACATCGCGCGACTTCTTCCTATTGGGCTGTATGCAATCAGGAGCAATATCACTCAAAATCGCTCTAAAAAAGGGTCATGTAGAAGGGACAAGCTACCAGCGACGAGCTACAAGTGATATTGAGCGATATTGAGCGACATTGAGCGACGAGATGTGAACAGCTACATTGAAATGTATTGGTGAAGCTACATAGAGCGATATAGTGCGGAAATATGAGCGATATCGCTACAAAAATCGCGCGATAAATCGCTCAATGTGAACGGGGCCTAACACTTAACCCATTCACCCACAGCTTAATCTCTAAAATGAACCATGAACACATGTCCACCCCTAAAACCTGATACTTAACTTCTAACCTTCATCTGAAAATATAACTTAACACTATGTCTCCTAATATTTAATGCGACACTTGACCTTTAATCACAAATGAAATGTTAGATTATCCCTTCACCTAACTCCTAACCCTAGATTTAACCTCTTCACCGGTTTCACTTTACCTACTTCCTTGCAGCGACTAATGGGATGCAAACCCTATACTTGACACTCTTACAAAACTGTTTAAGCTTTCTCTGTACACAGAGTACTGCAACATCAGAAGATTAGCTGTGAAAGTGCAGTCACCCATAGCGACCCATAATCATTCACTTTGCACATTGCACTCAACTGTTTCTCATTTGGAGGGACTCTCCCTCTATTGAAACCAAGTCCCTCCATCCCTACTTCGTCCCTCATTTTGCTGATGTATATACTTCATTATAACCTCATGTACACCTCATATAATTCATTTTTTACCTATCAAGGGTGTTCACTGAATTACTAATTGCACCCAACCTTTAATTCATTGCATTTGTTACTTTTAAGAGCCAGCGTAAAGTATAAATAGTGTTAAAAAACATACTTGTCTGGTTAACCAATCATTTTTCTCTGCATTAATTCTTCCTGAACTTTGTAACTGGGGTAAGGGGGTCAGGGGTGTGTTCATTGCCTACAAATGTTGTGCTATAATGTGTCCCTCTTTCTCATTTCAAAAAGTTGGGAAGTATACCAAGGCATACCTCCCAACTGTACTGATTTCTGTGGGACTATACCAGGACTTTTAACCAAGATCCTGTGAGCTTACCCCATGTCCTGCTGCCGGGTGTCTAACTGGAAAAGTACAGGAGAGTGGAGAAAACCTATCCCCACTTCCCGTTTCTGGTCATGTGACAATAATATCACATGACTCAAAGCTGCAAGGGAAGTATGACTCTATCTTGCTCTGAGGCGCAGATCTGCAGTATTGTGAGCTCCAGATAGAGCGTATCTGCCTCCTGCCCCTGGGGAAGTCCAGAACTGGTCAGCTGATCAATGGGCTGACCAGCAGATTGCCCAACTTATTTTATTTAAGATGATTGTTGTAGGGTGGATGGTGCAGACAATTGTCAACGTCAAAGCTAATGCCATAGAATAGCCTGACTTAAAGAGGTTCTCCATTTCCATTATTATTTTTTATTTAAAGGTTTCCCATCTAAGTCATATCCAGCACATTCACTGAAATGAATGAGCTGTTATACCTCTAAATGCAGCAATGTATAAATTCTTGCTATCTCTTGGCTCTGACAAAGCAGATAATATACAAGTAAGGATTAGCTCGGGTACAGATCAAACCCAAGCTCATCTAAACCCAGAAGGAAGCTGTCAGTGCTGACCCAATCAATTGTGGCCTGGGCATTCCCCACCCTGCTGCTGCATGTAAACAAGGGGGCAGGATGCTGTGGCATCATTGACCTTATATGGACACAATGTATAGCCAGCTTTAGTCTCTTGCTAAGGTGTGGTGTAGGACCCATAAACAGTGCCAGATCTTAGTAAATATCAAAGCTTTTCCTAGGAAACTTTGATATTTGGGAATTTGTTAAAACTGGAGCAGACAGAATCTGGAGCAGTTGCCCATGACAACCAATCAGCATCTCTCTTTAGTTTGCTCAGGTAAGATTTGACAATGAGACAGAGAAGCTGATTGGTTGCAGTGCAAATCTGCTCCAGATTTTGTCTTCTCCAATTTTGATAAATTCCCCCCAATATTTCGTGTTACACTTTCACTATCAGGAAGGGAGGTTCAAAGGTTTTGGGTGGATATTGATAAGTCTAATCACCCTCAGGTGTCTCATATGTCACATGTACTCTGGATGCAAGACTGCTATATCCGAGCCCCTGGCTCTGCTTATTCTACTCTACTTATTTCTGAATCCACCTTTTTACTTTATACTATGTGGAATTTTAATAGGCAATCCGGTGTATGACGGGGAAATCTCACCAATGAGATATGGGAAACCAATTAGTGATTTGTCCTACCATTATCCACCCAAAAGTGAAAAACAAATATCTTTGCAGTGATAAATGTGTGCAATTAATTGCAATTATTGCTGAGACCCCCCGACATAATGACTAATGATTTGTGTTGTTTACATTGCTATTATTCCTTGATTGAAATCTATTTACTATGATGCGTGCTATATTTATTACGTTGCATGCCTGTGTGCATTGATATTGAACATGTACGTGTATTATGTATCTGTCTATTGATTCCCTCTTGAGTTTGGAATGCATTACGAAGAGTGCAGAGGCAGTACAATAACACATCTGTGGACATGTGTGATAGATAGCCGCATTCATCCTATTCAGTGTACACGCCACTTTGTGAATGACTGTGTGGAACGTGTGTGTCTCTGTGTCTGTTTTACTAAACATTCAGAGACATGTTGACTAGTACTACTACTCATCATACGGAATGCTTCCTTGATTATACACTTCGAGGGGTTGGGTACCTCTGACTCATGCTGTTTTTCTAAAAGAGACAGCTTAAATCTGTTTACAAGACATTAAGACATGCTATTGATATTTTATTTATTTTAAATCACAAGGTGGCTGATCTTTGTTTTCTTTCATCCTTACTTTTTTAACTCAATGTGTCTTTTTTTAATGGAATATATATATATACAGTATATAGTCCAGTAGAAGAAGCACTCACAGGTCCTGTATTAAATCTTGTCTTTCTGAAGATGACAAGGAGTGCCTTGTCGAAACGTTGACCAATAAATGTATTTTTTGTTGCTTCAGTACAAGACTTGTGAGTGCCTCTTCTACTGGACCATTTGTATCTATTTGCCGGTTTAGATTTACTTAATTTTTCTAAAGTAATTCTAAACACAATTAATAAAATGTTATATAAGCTTTATGTTAATATAATTCTTAAATATATGTTCAATATTTATAAATCGATTTTGATACTGTTCAATATTTATAAACCTTCGGTTTCCAGTAAAGAATACCTGTTGTTCCTGCCATTAAGGCCCCTGTTCAGGCATTGTTATAGGTATGAGGTGACAATTGTTGTTCTGGGTTATCCTAATTAGAAGTATCTCATCACATTTCTAACCGATGTCCCACTTCAAGTTGCTTTGTTGGGTGCTGTAATGCAAAAGATGGTGCTGTGCAGAGCAATGAGAGGAATTGAGTCACCAGCACAACAATGTTCTCCTTATCGATCCGTCTTCATTGACATAAGATCATCAAGTTATCACAGTGAAACGCAAAGTTTTGGAAACCTCAAGCGGTTCCTTCATCAGGCAAACAATATGATACATCATCAGCTGATGCATCACATTGTTTTCCTGATTAAGAAACAGCATGTGGTTGCATTTCACTGTGATACCTTGATAATCTTATGTCAATAAAGATGGATCAATAAGGAGAACCTCTCATTGGGTTGTCATCCGGTCACATGCGCTCTTGGTGGGGACTAAGATTGTACAATCATGGTTTACCATTATCATTATCAGGAAGCCAGTCCAAAGCAAATATGTGCAGCTGACACTGGAGTAAGTGCATGTAGCAAGTAAGTGGCTGAAAGAACAAACGAGTAAAAAAAAGAGAACACAGTGTTTTATGGGAAAAGAAAATGGCAATTATTTTTGATACACCTTGCCTTAGTAAACTAAACGTGTACAGTAAGGGCTTACTTTTCTTTGGAAAGTAAACACGTTCCAAAAAAAATCCTACCTCACCCCCCTCTCACACATTGTTCTAGACACCCACTGGAGCCTATTCTCACGTTTACTGCCACTTCCTCGCTGTTCAGTAAAGGTGAGAATAGGCTCCAGCGAGAATAGACACCCACTGGAGCCTATTCTCACCTTTACTGAACAGCGAGGAAGTGGCAGTAAACGTGAGAATAGGCTCCAGTGAGAATAGACACACACTGGAGCATATGCTCACCTTTACTGCCACGTTCAGTTCCTGCCACCGGCTTCACAAACTAACTTGCAATATTTAGTACTTAGTATAGTTAACAACTGCACACTAAATGACACAATCCCAACTCTGATAAGACAGCGTAGGAGCCTGGCGATTGGATGTTCAGAACCCAGGTGCTGCATTGCGAGAAGACAGGGGAAGTGTCACATGCTCCTCCATAGCTGGGCACACTGGGGCTATCACAAAACATTGACAGCAATAGTGGAAAAAGTAATATAGATGCCTGAGGTTTCCTCCTGAGGGGATGGGTTTGGGAATTTATTTTCTCTTCTTGAGGGAAACATGGAAACCACCATTGCTGACCTATC